TTGACCCACATTCTAAAAATCACTAAAATGTTGAAATTTAGATCCAGCTTCCTAATTCACAGGAAAAATTTGAGGTGATTCTTCTCAGGGAATAGAGCACCACTGGAGAAGGCTGCACATTTCATCCTAATTTATGCTTTATTCTTTTCCATGAATTTAGCATCTGGACTTCTATCTATGATATAAACATCACTACTCTTTGAACTTCATGAGCATCAGCCTGCATACTTGATGCTAAATCCAAGCATGATGTCTCACAGAAATATTTATTTGTGGGGCTGGGGATTTAGCTCAGCGGCAAAAGTGCCTGCCTGGCAAGCACAAGGTCGTGAGTTCAGTTCCCGGTACCGGAGAAAAAAAAAAAAAAAAAAAATTTATTTGTGAATTTGTCTAAATGCACATGATTTGAACCAAACCATTACTTATTGCTCTGCCCAAACATTTACTGCAGTTTATCTATAGTAACAAGCAGCAACAAAGTGACTGATAATAAAGAACAAGCGTGCAATGAGAATTTTTATTTAAAACAATGTGAGGCTCCTAAACTATAGCTATAAGGGCAAAGCTTACTGCTGGTGAACCAGCCATTCCATTCTTAGCTTGAACCCATAAAACTCACAGCAGCTAAGGACACAAGACTGTTGCACATTCATCTCAGCCTAGGGACTACAACCAAAGGTAGCAAGCACCCAAATGTCATGATCAAACTATAGGACTTGGAGCTGTGACTTTCTAGACAGTTCCTTAAAGACTTTTCCTAATCTGTGGAGAATCTGAAGGCAGAGTTTCAAGGATGAATGATCACAGCTCTGGTCTTTTAATGCTGGTAGGGGTTGAAGTTTAAGGCAGACCCTAAATGTGGGGGTACAAAGGCTTTTTGGGAAACAGACACCTAGCATTGCTCCAAGAACCAAATTTGAGTGTCTCCCAGTGTGGACTTCCTATGCCCTACTGCGTGGTTCCACCCATTACCACGCAACAGAGATCGTCCCTGAACAAAAACCTCCTAAGTGCAGGGGGTGGATATCAGAACTGCTCTGCAAGATGCTTCTGTGTGAGGGAGCACAGAGATGTTGGTACCAAGGCTCCATTGCTTTTCTTTGTGTGTGTGTGGACTGAGCTACATCTCCAATCGTGTTTTCATTTATATTTTAACATACTCTCATTATAGGACTGAAGTACTTTAGGTTCAACATGCACCTTACCAACTTTGCAAGTTCTGGGATTAAGGCATGCACTCCTGCCAACTGTGGTGGAGAAACCTGTCTCTAAATGGCTTCTTCCTTCATGGGAAATTTCATATGTTCACTTGCTCTGCTTGCTCCACCTCCCTCCCTTCCTAACTCTTCCATCAGACTTAAAGCTTGTTCCATATTTCATTGTTTCCCAGACCATTAAGGGGAAATATGCATTAACATTGATCCCACTTATTTCATTGACCCCATTAACAATGATCCCATGTATTCCACAGACCTTCTTACCATCTCATCTGTCTGCCTTTGGATGTATTTCCTTCCAACTGTGTTGCTTAAAACTGTTCCCCTCCCAAGCTGGCTTCCAGCTCTGTGATGCTGCCATCTCCCATAATGCTACTCTCTAGACAGGCAGCATCCATGCTGTTAGACCTTTCTTCTCCACTGCATTGACTTGATATGTTTAGCTCTTCTCAACACCTCATCTTACTCAGAAAGAACTGATATATCCTTGTATATTTTAGTTGTATGTGTGTTTTCCTAGATTTCCCCCTATTATGTAAACCTGGCATGAGAAGTTGGGACATGTATCCTCTAGAATGGAAATAACACAATGATGCCCCTCCTTTGGGGGTTTTCCTTCTTATCCTGGTCCTTTGGCAGGAAGTGTCTCTAGGGCAGATGCCTTTGCTTTGTATAGGGTTATTGTGATTATCTAAACACCCAAAGAATTTGCTTGCTTCATGCCACTGCTCCTGGATTTCTGCTTCAGTCTCTCTCCCTCATTCCCTGCTTTAAATGTATAGATTCCAATCTGCTGCCTCTTGTAATATTCTGGGCTTTCCGTGAGGTTGTTTACTTTGCCCGCATTAAAGAATTTCACGATTCCTTTTTACATTTGTGAAATTTGGTCAGGTGTAAAAAAAGGAGACTGAGAGAATTAGGCACATTTGCAGGTAAAAGAGAATGCGTCTTTATTTTCTATCCAGAAGAGATTCACAGACCTGTCCTCTTTTGAACACATGCTTCTTTACTACCTACCTGCTCTTTAGCATGACAGATATGTGAGTGAAGCTGAGTTAAAAAATGACAGTGCACAGTGAATAAGGTGGGGCTGCATGATTTATATTGCAAGTGTTTGCAGTAATAAGTATAACCCCCTGAATATAAGTGTAATGCATTTATAAATATGACAGGTATAAACCTCCCTTAAAAACTAATTGTATACATACATGAATTAAAATACATAACACAAAACATTATAAGAACAGAGTTATAGATATGAATACTACCTCAATATTACTAGAATAGTGTAACATTTCTATTGGCAAAATATAGATAATACATAGAGAGGAGTTCTTACTATAGTTAAAAATAACCTATGACAGACCTATGGCCCTAATGTTCTATTTTAAGTCAGTCCACCCCCAAGGTGGTGCTCCATAGACAAACTTCAAGTGCTATCAGTTATACAGGCTATAAAGGTGTTACGGCAGAAAATTTCCCGTCTGTCCCAAACATTCCACAAGAGACGCCAATCGCCAGTGAGAACAAATCAGAGTTTAATTTGAGGCTAGCCACCCTCACTTCCTTTGCCAATCTGGAAGTGGGCGCGCATGGCTAACTTTGTTTTCCCTTATATACATTTTGGTTTC